GCCACAAAACACACAAACTCATTCCAATTCCTAATGGACTTAAAAATTCAGCTTCATTAAAATGATTTTCCAGGTGCATCTGCCCCTGTTCAGACAAATGTTTCTTATCCCTGATTTTACATATCAAGAGACATGATGGCAGCTGCTAACATAGCCCTGTGCTGTGTCACAACCAGCTGCTGAAGTTCAATCTTTCTCAGGTATCCTGAAACTCACCTAGACTCTGATCCAGAAAACTGCTCCAGATAGGTGGACCTCTGAACCCAGGAGTAGGGCTGCTGAAATTAATCACCCCTTTCCTCCAGCATTCACTGTTAATGCTTTGTCCTATTTGTGTTTATCACTGTCCTGTTGTCTGATCTGAAACCTACCAACATCTATGGGAGCCTTTCCACTGACTTTACCTGGGCTTTGGATCAGGCCGCTAGTAGGTAGATTATGTCAGCTCTTGTTAAATCACCAATAATCGTAATAATTTAGTTCCATTAAAAAACTGTTGAGAATAAACATTATGTTAAAGGAATTAAATGTTTACAATTCTTTCCATTTTAATAATCTAAGCTCTTATTAGCAATATAAACAAGGATTTTTAAATATATGGGTGACAGAATACACCCCTGTATTCATACCCTACACTCTATTGTAATAATCTTTGTATAAGGTATGCCTTTTAAGGTATCATTTGAAAACTCATAATTTGCTGGTCAGTTTTGTCCTCATAAAATGTGTGGCAACATTGTATATGAAGTTATAAGATTCCCCTGTATGATGTTATTAACACATGTTCCAAACCCCACAGCCTGCCCAGGCAGAAGTCAGCAAACAGGTCTGTCCTAAACAAAGGAATGTGTGCTAAGCAGTAAACAGGATCATCAAGCAGGAAGGGAAAACAAAGGAAGCTCAAACAGATGGAAAAAATCCATTAGGGAACATCCTTCCACATAGACTGTCTCCTGTTTCTCAGCTGGAAATGTTTTTCAAGAGCGACAATGAAACTATAAAAAGGAGGGGCAAACACACCAAAGGACCCCTCTCTCTTCCAGCCCATTGCATTCTCTGCACTTGAGAAGACAAAAGAAACAGCCATTGGACTCTGGGGAAGGGGTCCTGACCTGTAGAGATTGGTCAGTAATCTTGCTGGAAGCATGTGGTGAGAAATTTTGCTTGAATCTGATATAGTTTAAGTTAGATACTAGAACTCATTTTTTCTTTATTTTTCTTGTAACCATTTCTGATTTTTATACCTCATTACTCATACTCAAAATCTATCTCTTTGTAGTTAATAAACTTGTTTTATTATTTGATCTAATCCAGTGTATTTAAATTGAAATGTTTGGATAACTCCATTTAAGGTAATAAGATGATATATTATTCCCTTAAAGGAATAACTGTATTACTATATTTGTACTGTCCAGAAGGGGGCTGGACAGTAAAGGATATATATTTCTGTGGAGAATCTGAGACTGGGAGTATGTTGGGGTCACCCTGCAGTATAACTAAGGCTGGTGAGTGACAGGCTGTAGTTACACAAACACATCTGGGAGTGACCTGCATGCTGGAAGATGTTTGTGAGCAGTAATGATTGGAGGCTGCAGCAGCAAGGCATTGTAGGCACCCCAGACTGCAGGCCAGGAGAGTAACAACCCCCACCCAACACCGATCTGGAGAGCATCCTGGTATGTCACAATATGGTTTTAATATTTATTGTTGTTAACATTTATATTGAGATAGCACAGCAAGATTCAGCCCCATTGTACTAGGCATTGTACAAACATATAATATTCCCTGCCCCAAAGAGCTTACAATCTAAAAGATAATTATCAGGTGTCTGAGACAAATGACAACCAGTGTGGAGTGTGGAAGAAAGGTAACAAATAAATATTATAGGAGGTTTGTAATACTTAACCACTTAGTAGTAGTGATCACAGCTCTCCACCTCCCTAGCCATTATTAAGTTGTACTTAACAATGTGAATTACCACAGAGGTGAGTTTTGCATAAGGACTTGAAGGAGGACTAGCTATTTTACAGATTTTCACTGGGAGCTTTTACCAGCGCAGGAGGGGAAGCATGGGAGAGAATGTGGAAGTTCTTGTTGGAAAAATGGAGAGCCAGATGGTTGACATTGACAAAAGTGAAGGTAAGAGTCAACTTTGTAATAAATTAGGTAGCATGGTCAGTTAGGTAGCATGAAGCAAAACTGTGGAGGATGTTGAAGGTCGGGAGAAGAGGTTTGTGTTTGATGCTGTCATGGCTACAGGGCAAATTGCACCTTAGACTCCTTTTAATCCCTCTCAAGTGCACCCCTTAGCTGACAAGCCTGGCTTCCAGCATCTTGCTTTGGGTAGAATCATGCGGAAGCAATCACTCTCAGGCTGGATCTCTGGGCTACAGCCCCCTAGTTTCCAACCACATTAACAACACAAGTCCAACTTGTTTTTTGGCATCTGTAAATTACCCTTCAGGAGTCTGTAACAGCAGTGACGCAAAAACGTTGTCTTTGAAACCATTATTTATTCATTCCTCAAAAGGTAAAAAGCATTTAGGAAAATTGGTTATCATACTGAAAGGCCTGGGCATATACTTCCTTATTTAACCTCTCTATCCATTGCTCAAAGAGGTCCAGCTTATTCCCATTTCTGAGTTGGGAGAGCCAGCCTGTCCTGCTTGCAGTATACTCCCTCTGTCAATCTGGGTGTCAGATTCCATTTGTTGACAACCCATTCCACACTTCTCCTCCCTGAGGCCAGATTTTTTTAGGTTTAGGATTCTCTTTGATTCTGTGCTCAGCCTTGGCAAGAATAAACCATTCTAGCCTGGATAGAGCCAGATATGAGGTATATGTACCCCAACAAATAGCTTTTCCATTGCTTTCTCCAGGACTCTTATCTGTGTCACTCCTTTGCTTCCTGATAGTTTCACCCTTAGCCTCCTGTGATATAACTCCTGGCAGTTAGGCAGGTTAATATCAAACATAACCTGATGAGGATATATTTATTTTTAAAAAATACACCTAATGCCCTCTTTCTCCTCAGAGAAGGGGAGCCAGAGGAGGGACTTAAAGAACAGGTGACAGAGCAATGAACCAAGAAGATGATCTTAGCAGCAGCATTTTGAATGGATTTGAGAGGGGCAAGAGTATACAGTGAGAAGAGGAGGGGCCAAGGACAGGGTCCTGAGAGACTCTTACCAAGAGAGGGAAGCTGATAATGTCCCTTTAATACTGAAGGCTAAATCTCAGTATAGCTAGACAAATCCACCAAATATATGGGTTTGCTAAGAAGATAAAAACTTAGCCAGACAGATAACAGGGACATTTCTAGCCCAAAATTAAAATCTTGTAAAAACAAGCTTTTATAAAACCTAACACCAATTTTCAAAATGAAAACAATCCTTTTAAAACAAATTAATATTCCGCAGCAGTGTTAGAAACACTAGCATTGCAACAGGAAGAACATGAAAGTAAAACGGACTGTAAACAAAAGAATATATGAGAGGCGAAAGTAAAGAAAGAAAGTAAACAGTGATAAGTAAACCGGATCTTAAAAATTATTTCACTCTTAATAATCTAAGGTTTACAGGTAAAGAAAGTTGTTTGAGATTTTTCAATTGGCATAAATGCACCTTTTTAGAATGTCCACAGTTTATAAAAGTATTTTAAGGAGCATTTAAAATTAGCATTTTCTTCTATGAAGTACATGCTAAAGCACATAATTATAGTGTCTTTGGCAAGTCTACATTTTCCCAGCAAGAAACCTGTTACTCACAACAATCATATCCATAGATGGATTAAGATCCAGAACCTCTGAATTTCTCAACAAGAAGTTTTCACATCACTTTTAAAAGGGAAGTGATGTGTAGTCTCAATATAGATGCAAACTGAATTGAAAATTACTTTTCAAAGCCACAAACAGAGCTGAAGGAAAATTTTTAAATTTACTGAACATGCACCTGTCAGCAAACAGGGATTCTAGTCACCATGGACATGAGCCTGCAAACACTCACTACAGAGCTCAGTGCCTAATACCATGATTAACTGCTCATTCCTGTCCTCCAGACTCAACCTTCTTTCTATCCATATCACTGCACTTTCCATGTTAATGAATTTCTTTCACCTCAGCTACCCTCAGAGGCAATTCTCCCCTAAGTATCACCCTAAAAACTTCTTTTTCTTTATCAGTTACACAACTGACTTTCTCTGTCCAGCATTTTTATGTAATATATCCTGTATAAAGAATGTGGTGCCAAATGAAATTGAATTGTAACAGTTACAGCTAAAATAATTATTGATAAGGAAAATGAAATAGGTAAGACTTATATCTACATCAAAAATGGAGGGCCAAATTTACCACTAGCATAAGGGAACACAATTCCATTGACATAAATAGAGTTGTGGTTGCTGTCACAGCAGTAGATTTGATCTGGAAGTTGTATTAACATAACAATAGGGCTTCTGGTTTAACGGGTTATTAATTTCATGGGGGGAGGGTATTTTTAGCAATATTTGAGTTTTATGTAGATGTAAAAAAACTAGGGTTTTTCGGGGCTCTTTGTACATACTGTAATGAGTAATGTATATTATATAATGAATAATCTCTTTGTAATGTTACCTAGTGCACTTAACGTTGTACTGTTTCAAACAGCACTATGTTAAAGCACAGTAAGGAACCTTTAGTGTGTACCAACAGGGTCTACACAGACCAATTAATGCACAACATATTAGTGTGGTTTAGAAATCATGCCCCCGAATTAGTCCGCATTAATGCTCTATGTAGACAAGGCTTTAGATACAAGTAAGCACTTCAGGGGTTTTTCCAGAGTTTATGGGATAAACTCTAGTTTTAATTGATTGATTGATTGAATTTGGGGTGTTTTATTGCTGTTTATCAGTTAAAACCTAAAATCAGCAGCCCTGCATAATTAGCTGACACTGAAAGTTCATAGTGAACCACATAAAAGCAATATGATTTATTTTTGTAATATTTGAAAGTTGGCATTTACCTTGTAAAAATTCCACCATGCAAGAAATGAAGTAGAAAAATCCAGTTCAGCTTCCCAGGATCAGGGCTTCCACAGTCGTCTTTAAACCATTCATAACTAAATATCTGTACTATTATTGATGACAGCAACCTAAAAACCAGTGTCAAGATACCCAAAGAATATTGTCCCTCACAGAAATAGTTACTAGTGACCCAGATATCTGCTGCAATATCAGCTACATAAATTACAATTCCAAGAACTGACATAGTAAAATTCCACTTAGTAAATTTCATTATGAGTTAGTTTTTCATTATTGTCACTGCGTTATCACTTAATATAAGAAGGAGAAGAAGTCAGAGCATATCTAAATACACTCTTACACCTAGTGATACAACCTTCTCATAATGTTTTCTATAAAGCAAAGCTGTAGTGTATATTTTCAGTATGGAAAATTGAATCAAAATAAAGAGACTTCAAGTTTTATGCTCTTTGCTAGAATACTAAACTAATTCCATTGCTACATGTCCATTCCAGAAAGCGTACATGTAAACATCTTTTTAATTACGCTGGTAGATGTCATTCTTCCTAGTTGCTGGCTCCTGAAAAGAAGAATAAATGAAGAGTCACCAATAACAAGAGCAATAATTCAGAAAAGCATAAAGCCCCCCAGCAAGTCACATAATAATTTAAAAGGAAAAGAAAAGTGTATAGGAGATGCTCATGGACAATCACTGGGGAAGATTAATTTCAACTGGTCAGAAGTTTCTCTCCGGACAGCAGTGATTCTGAACCTTGCCCAGTACCAGTGGAACTGTCTTGTTATAAGTAGACATTTCTAAGTATAGAATTAAGAGATGCTAAGAAACAAGCCCATTACCATGAGCTTTTTAAACCTCAGTTAGTGTGGGTAAAGATGGTGACTCCTTCCCAACACTACTCATTAAGACAGAATATTCATGAAAGCCAGCCTTTCTGGACTCTCAAAAGGTATTAGAGGCAAGGTGCGTGAGGTAATATCTTTTACTCGACCAACTTTTCTGTTGGTGACAGACACACACTTTTGATCTTACACAGAGCTCTTCTTCAGACCTTCTTACCTCACCTACCTTGTCTCCCTAATCTCCTGGGACTAACATGGCTACAACAACACTTTCAAAAAAAGTGTCTTCCACAGTCAACAGCTAATCCATGAGAATCTGGGCTTGTTTCAAGATACTACCTTCTTCCTCTGCCTCTGAGTGCTCACAAACAGTGGAGAACAATCATACCTTGAATACACATCATTATACAGCTACACGCATTGTGTGATTGGAAGACTTTTCACTGTTTAATGGTTTTATCTTTCATGTTTGTCCATATACAGTGACTACAAAAAATTACCCCTTAGAGGCTACTGAACAGGATCGAGGCTGTTTGTATGAAAGATCATTCCTGTGCAGGAATCACTAGCCAGACCCTGCCTTACTGTAGAATATGTATCCTTATTATCGGGGAAGCAGATTACAGTTCCTACATTTAGGTTGCCTAACAATTTCCATTATAATGATTTTTGTGACTTTTTCTTTGAGAATCTCTCACGCCTCTATTGTTTTCAACATACCTTTGATATTCAGCAGAGGGAATGCCCTTGAGGGATCAGTCTTGGGACCAATCTTATTTAACATTTTCATTCATGACCTTGGCACAAAACGTGGAAGTGTGCTAATAAAATTTGCAGATGACACAAAGTTGGGAGGTACTGCCAATACAGAGGAGGACTGTAATATCATACAAGATCTGGAGGACCTTGAAAATGGGAGAAATAGAAAAGGGATGAAATTTTATAGTACTAAGTGCAAGGTCATGCACTTAGGGACTTACAAGAATTTTTGCTATAAGCTGGAGACTTCTTAGTTGGAAGCAACAGAAGAGGAGAAAGCCTTGGGTGTATTGGTTGATCACAGGATGACTCTGAGCTACCAATGTAATGTGGCTGTGCATCAGGCAAAAGATTTCCAGTAAAGATAGGGAAGTGTTATTGCCATTATGCCAGGCACTGGTGAGACCTCATCTGGAATACCATGTGCAATTCTGGTCTCCTATGTTTAAGAAAGATCAATTCAAACTGGAACAGAGAAAGGCTACTAGTATGATCAGAGGAATGGAAAACCTACCTTACGAGAGGAGACTCAAAGAGCTTGACTTGTTTATCCTAACCAAACAAAGGCTGAAATTAAATATGATTGCTCTCTATAAATACATCAGAGAATAAATATCAGGGAGGGAGAGGAGTTATTTAAGTTAAGCGCCAATGTTTACACAAGAACAAACAAATATAAACTGGTCATCAACAAATGTAGGCTTGAAATTAGACAAAGGCTTCTAACCATCCGAGGAGTGAAGTTCTGGAACAACCTTCCAAGGGGAGCAGTGGAGGCAAAAAATCTAACTGGCTTCAAGACTGAGCTTGATAAGTTTATGGAGGTGATGGTATGATGAAATTGCCTACAATAGCATGTGGCCCAACCCTCCAGGATTGTCCTGGAATTAAAGATTAATCTTTAAGTAAAGATTATGCCATGTAATGAAACCTCCAGGAATACATCCAACCAAAATTGGCAACCCTACCCATTTGCGACTGCTAGTAGCAAAAATCCCCAATGGTTGGAGATGGAGCACTAGATGGAGACGGTTCTGAGTTACTATAGAGAATTCTTTCCCAGGAGTCTTGCTGGGGGGGGTCATGCTGACATGCTCAGGGTTCAACTGATTGCCATATTTCGGGTCAGGAAGGAATTTTCCCCAAGGTCAGATTGGCAGAGACCCTGGGATTTTTTTGCCTTCCTCTGCAGCATGGGGCACAGGTCACTTGCTGGTTTAAACTAGAGTAAATGGTGAATTCTATGTAACTTGAAGTCTTTAAATCATGATTTGAGGACTTCAATAACTCAGTCAGAGGTTATGGGTCTATTACAAGAGGAGGGGGTGGTTCTGTGACCTGTGATGTGCAGGATGTCAGCCTAGATGATCTCAATGGCCCCTTCTGGTCTTAAAGTCTATGAGTCTATGAGCTGTGGAATTGCATTTTCTTTGTCTCATAAAATTCCATTCAGTTTTTGTTGAATTATAAACTGTTAAAAGTCACCAGTTCCCTTCTATTCTCTCACGTGCATGTGTCAGGAAAATTTTGGCAGCATACCAAAATAACCAAACATATGAACATTCCAAAATGTCAGGCTCACACCACAACCAAAGCAGTATCAGACAGACACTTTATGGGGAACCCCTGGGGGCAGCCAGCAGAGCCGGGGCAGGAAGGATTGGAAGGAAGAGAGTTGGGCTGGGCTTGCTTTGGATTTTTGGACACCTGCCCACTAAGAAGTGAACTGAGACCATTAGCTAATATGACATAGACCACAAGAAAGATCCTGACAATTCTTAATTGATATTGACCAGACCAAATTTTGAATAGTAACCTAGCTATTACGAGTCTTCTGTTCTCTCAACTTCCTATCTCAAGTCTTGGCCTAGCTGTGGTCAGTAGAGTGACGTACTCTACGAACTCAGATACCTGGAGTCCCTACATCTGACAAAAAAAAAAAAAAATGGTCACTAACTTCTTCCAAATATCAACAGCAATTGACATGAGCTGGGGAGGTTAGGGGAGTAAACTTTGGTACACAGTAGTGCATGAGCTAAACTGAACTTTGCTCTTACTAATATTTCATAACCTAATCATTCTTTCATTTATGTAATATTTAAACTGGCAGCCTGTGAGATATGTTTCTTAAAAAAAAAAATAATGCCCTGAATATACTTGATATATAAGGATCACTTCACTCACCCTTAATATTTAACTGCCATTGTAATGGGTCACAGTAACTACTGCACAGTTTTTAGGATGGTGGATGAAGAATATATCACTATTTGAAAATATAAGAATGTAGCTATTGGCCACTACAGGAGGCAGAATAAGACTTGATGAATAAACAGTCTGGTTCAATATGGCAAGTCTTATGCTTCTATTTGGACAGGGATAATATAATTGTTGATGTTGATATCTTCCAGGATAGCAGGATTAACATGTATAATGGGCAATATGCTATGGGATACCTGGGGGCAAGTTTTTAGATGACTTCAGTCATGATCTGTGATTTTTGTGCTTGAAATATGTGTGTGTAAATTGGGTAGTTAGACTTCTAATTACTCATATGGGCCCCATCTCTGTACCCTCACTTCAGTATCTGAGCAACTCATAAACATTAATGAATTCATCCTCTCCACACTCTTCAATAGGGAAGCATTATAATCAATATTTTGTCAAGGTAGCACAGGAAGTCTGTCACAGATCCACAAACTGAATCCATATCTCCCAAACTTCACTCTACTGCCTTAATCACAAGACCATGCACAAATGCCTTTTTGCAGATGCATCTGAAATCTCAACTGGAAATCTGACCCTTAATGTATACAAGTGTTTATGTGTAATCTATGACAGTCCTTCCAATAGTTAAAGCATCTCCTAATGCCATGTGGGGTACAAGTTCAATGCTGACTTGGAGAAGGGTGTTGTCTCCTATGCCCTACAGCACCTGGAATCTCCTAGTCCCTGATCCAAGACCTCTAGGCTCAAAATTTGCTTACTGTACAAGATCTGTTAAGATATCATCCATAAGAAGTACAATTTAAGTACCCTATGCTGCAAAATGTGCCCATTCTGAAACCCAATATACCTTTACACAGTCATTCCGAGATAGAGCAGAAGCTGTAAAATACTAAAAAGTAGACCTTTACCGCTTGAAATATATTTAAAAACACTATCATAAAATGCAAACTTACCTTAATACCTGCCACAGACAAGTCAAAGTTTTCACTGTAAAATCCATAGTCTGCTCCAAGCAGCTTTGAAGGTCTGAACATTTCTCATACTTTCACTGTGTGTCTCGAAAGTTTGCCATCAGCAAAAGTGAAAGGCTACATGCCATAATGGAAACTGAAATTTAAATCACCTGTTGACCATGTGACATAGTTAATAAACTGCTAGCTATCTGGAACTGTCAATCCTTATGAATGTATACATTATTGGAATAAGAATTCTAAAAGAGCCTTTATCTATGGATTTTTAATATAGTCCTAAAATAAAGGTTATTTAACTAAATTTCATTTCATGTCTTTTACTCCATGAAAGTATATCCACTTGTTGAAATAACACTGGTTTCTTAAGACTTATTGATCAAAATCAATCTACATATATATGTAGATTTAGCAAAGCCTGTGAATATATTTGACTTATTAATAAATAAAGAATTGTTCAGCAGTTGTCTTTGCAATAAGATACATTGTAAAATGTATACAAAAGGTAAGGGTTTTGCTTTTTCATGCAATGAGATGAACAGATGGCAGATGGCAGATGAATGTGTTTTGATGCTTGGAACAGGTAAGTGTACAAAAAAATTCTCCCTGGCAAAAATGCAATAATGGGGAAGCATAAAGATTCAACAGATTAAAAAGGGAACATCTGCTGATGGCCAGAAAATACATATATCTTTTTTTTAAAGTGTTTTATAGCCGCAATTGCAAAGGTATAAAAATAACAAACAAACAAAAAAGCTCAAACAAAAAAAAAATCCTATCTCACTAATACTTCTAACTAGCAGCTTCTAAATTATATTGGAATGATTTATTTTGTGAAAACATCTGCATTACCCTATTCAGCAAAGTTTGTATAATAAACACAGCATTATATTTCCATGCTTAGGCAACAGAGATGCTATTATTTAGCCTCAATGAAAAGCTTTTACTCTCAGCAGTTACACATATCATGGGCAAAAGATAAAAGCTGAGAACCACATTTTTAAAGGTGTTTAGGTGTCTATTTGCACCAAAAAAAAATTTTTTTTTAAACTTGGCCGTGAGTTAATATCATTTGGTTGTAAAATATGAAGCAACCTCATTTCAAAACTCATTTTGTTTAGTTCTTTTGTTGTTTATAATGTTCACACTCTCCTGTTCAGACTATTTTTTTCGCAAATAAATAATCTTTGGTTAGTATGCTTGCTTTTACTAAAAATGCAAACCTGCTACTTGAATTGGAGAAGCTGAAGCAAATCACTGTCCACTCTAGAAGCTCTAGTAGAATTGCAAAAACATATTAACAGCAGCCACTTCAGTCAGTGCATACTAGAAAGAGGGGTATCAAAGTTTTGTACCTGGTGGTCAGGTCCTGGAAATGAAGACCACAGGCTTTCTTGTGGCAGAAAGAACCTGTAAATTAATTCCTCAAAGGATATGACTGCTGCCATCTACAGACCAAATAGCTTCATAGCTCCTACATGTAATTAGAAAAGATTATTTATTTAGAAGAAATTTACACTGATACTAAAAAAGAAAAAAGACACTTGATGGTTGATTTCATAAGCAGTCAGAATCTTACCATTCAAAGCAATTAAGGAGGAAAAAATCACCAGCACAGTTTGTGGGAGATTTTTAGCAAATTTGAAGAGGTTTTCCCTCTCATACTTTCAGGATTATGCAAAAAAACTGAATTTACATTAGAGAGAGTCAGCTACCAAAATACACAAGTTGCCTAGGTATCTTCAGATCCCATCATTTTTATATGTGACATCACAGATATGCCTAACCCAAGAACCAAATTTTACCTGATGGCTGAAAATAGGTTTAATGGAGCCCCAAACAGATGCACATGTACACTGCAAAAACAGCATTTTAAGGCACCTGATTTCTGGATGAGGCCAATTCCATTCACCGACCCATGCTCAACTATAGACAGTAGGAGTAATCTAGAAGGGGGAGGGAAGGTTGTGTGTAAAGGCCACTGCTGAGTCAGAGCATACATATATAACATGCAGCCTTAGCCCCTCTGACTCCAAGCAAATCCTGTAATTGCCCCTCTGAGGCTGAAGATCCTGGAAAGTGAGAAATTAATGTGATGAGTGTGATATAAATAATGGTTCCGATAGATTAAAGAGGCTGGCTTGGCAAAATTATGGAGGCACCAGAATAGAGACAGCCAATAAGTGTTCTGTTGTCCATCTGCTGTCTGGAATTTCTGGTGTGCACCTATAAACAGCTCCAGCCAGAATTTAGTCCCAGAGAGATTTTTAATCATTGCATAAAGGATCATCAACAGAAGTAATACTTTCCAGACCAACATCATAACACTGTCAGACCCACACTTTGGTATCCCTCCCAAAAATTCTACTTGTACAGATAGCCCATAATTCTAATTGTGTCCCTCCCACTGTTTAGGATAGTTACCTTCACTGGATCTGTGAAGGTAGGCATGGTGATCCGTGGGTTTCCTGTATATAGTTGTCTGTCAGGTTCCATTGTTGAAGCTGATCATGGTATCCAGGGAGATTTCCACTACAACTTCAACAACCACCACCCATCCATTAAACTCTCTCTGGAACACTCCCACACTAGCATGAACTTCCTGGATACCACCAACAATAGAACCTAAAGACTACTATATACAAGAAACCCACGGATCACCACACCTACCTTCAGAGATCCAGTGGCCATCCTAAATGCACCAAGAAATCTATAGTCAGGCACTCAAATACCATAGAATATGCTCCAAGGAGAAAGTCCAGGATATATACCTTAACACACTAAAACCGCCTTCTCCAAAAAAAGGACACTTCACCAGAGAAGTAGCTCACATCATGGAATGTGACACCCAAATACCCTGAGAGAACCTGCTTCAGTATGGAAATAAAAAACCCCTCTGACCACACACCCCTAGTTGTCACCTCACTGGAACCCATACAGGGTAGCATTAAACAATTACAACCCATACTTCATGGGGACTACAGCTTGAAAGAAATCTTTCCTGAACCCTCCTCTTCTGGCCTTCAAACAATCCCCCAGCCTCTCCAAACTCATTATCAGAAGCAAGGTCCCCACAGACCAGGACATACCAACTCAAAGCGGCACCAGATGCTGTCAGAATAGATGCAAAACCAGTAGACATATCTCCACTGCTAGGATGATCAACAACTCCCACAACATACCTTTTGAGATCCATGGATCCTACACGTACCTATCACAACATATGGTGTACCTCATCCAGTGCACTAAATGCTCCAATAACAACTATGTGGGTGAAACCAGACAATCACTATGCTCTCACATTAACTTATACAGGAAAATGATAAAAGACAAAAACACCATATCACTGTGGGTGAACACTTTTCACAAAATAAGCCCTCTGTATCTGACTACTCAGTCCTCATTCTCAAGGGAAATCTGCACAACAAATTCAAAAGATGAGCCTGGGAGCTTAAATTCTTAACTTTGCTAGACACTAAGGCCGTGTCTACACTAGCACTTATGATGGCAAAACTTTTGTCACTCGGAGGTGTGATAAAAGCACCTCCCTGAGTGACATAAGTTTTGCTGGCATAAGCACCGCTGTGCACAGTGCTATGTCAGCAGAGACACTCTCCAGCCAATATAGCTACCACCACTCTTTGAGCTGGTTTTATGATGTTGATACGCGAGCTCTCTCCCGTTGGCATAACGCAGCTACAAGAGTGCTCTTAAGTTCATGTAAGCTTAAGCTTGTAAGTGTAGACATGGCCTAAAATCATGGACTGAATAGAGACGGTGGACTTATGACAACAATCTATAGCCCACTAGCAACCCCCAGCCACAGATGCTTTTTTCTCCTCCCTTCCTTCCCCATCTCTGCCCCCCATGACTGGAAGATTGTTAATGGGCCACTTCACCTTGAATGGGTCTTTGAAATATGTGTTAACTACGTATCTGTTCCAACTTCTATTTAGCTGTGACGCTCTGAGGCTTGCATTTCTCAACCTGGGGCCCCTGGGGGGGTCACAAGCAGATTTCAGGGGGTCCACTAAGCAGGGCTGGCATTAGACTTGCTGAGGCCCAGGACAGAAAGCTGAAGCCCCAACGCATGGGGCTAAAGCCCGGGGCTGAAGCCGAAGCCTGAGTAGCTTCACAGGGCCCCCTGTGGTGTGGAGCCCTGGGCAACTGCCCTGCTTGCTATCCCTTAGCACTGGCCCTGGTTTTTATATTCAGAAAAACATTTGTTATGGCACACGTGGGCCATGGAGTTTTTATAGCATGTTGGGAGGACTCAGAAAGAAAAAGGTTGAGAACCCCTGCTCTACACTACAGAGTTAGGTGGATGTAAGCCTTACGCCGACCTAATATATCAGTGTACACACTACAGCCTTGCTCCTGCCAATATAATTGACATAACTCCACCTCCATGAGAGGCATAGGGCTTGTCAGCATAGTTAGGGCGACAATGTCCATGTAGACACTGCATTACTTATATTGGCTGTTGGCTGTCATTCTTGTCAATTTCTAGCGGGGACAGCCAGGCTCTAGCTGTCACCGCAGGGCGGGGGGGCTCCACTAGAGCCTGGCTGCCCCCGTGGGCTTCCCGTTCCCAACCAGGCTGTGGCCACCCCACTTCCCAGTAGGAGCCAGGCTGCCCCCCAGGTCCCAGCTCCCCCAGCCCAGCTGCTGCCCAGGCTCACAGCTTCGAATTGACCTGTGCCCACCTGGCTCCCTGCTCCCAGCTGGGTCCTGCCCTGTGGCTCCCTGCTGGAAGCCCTAGTGCTGCCTGGAGGCTCCCTGCAAGAAGCCCACCCGTTGCACCGGGGCTCCCAGCTCACTGCCGAGAGCCTAGACCCCGCGGTAAGTAGATCTAAGCTACATGGAACTTTTCCCTTTAGTGTAGACAAGGCCTAGGAAGCTCAGCTGAGGTGAACTCTCTGCTCTCAGGGCAGCTGGGGGAAGAAGGCGACTGGGCCAAGGCCAAGCAGCCCCGCCCAACTTCCTCCGCGCAAAGGCCACCTCCCAGCCTCCGTGGGAACAGTCGCGCGCTCAGCTTCTGCGCTGGGCGGAGCTATTCTCCGTGAGGGAGGGGCCAGGGGGAGCTACGTTTTTCTGTCGAGCGCGCGCGCGCGCCGCCGCCGCTAGGCTGTTGGCGCTGCGGGGAAAATGGCGGCGCTGCTGCCGCGCATTGAGCGGCTCTCCGCGCGGGTGGTGCGCGTGCTGGGCTGTAACCCGGGCCCCATGACCCTGCAGGGGACCAACACCTACCTGGTGGGGACCGGGCCCAGGTAACAGCCCCGCCCCCCGGCAGAGCGCAGGCTCGCGCCACAGGGCCGGCGCCGGCAGCTTCTGCCCGCCCTGACTGCCCCGCACCTGCAGCGCCGCGCGCTCCCAGCCCCGCTGGAACTCCGCAGCCGCCGCCTGGCTGAGGCTGGAGCCCGGTCTCTGAGACAGGCCCAAGCGAGGCCCGTGCCCGTGTTGCTCTCTGCGCTGTCGTGCCTTTTAGGGGGGATTCCGGGGGTCACGGGAAGCCTAGGGAGTGGGGTTGGGAAACTAGGGGCAGTGAAGGGTTTCCCCGGCTCTGGCACACAGTTTTATCCGTTTGTATGTTGGGTTTCTGGGTCCGTCAGGATTTCACCTTCCCTGTCTTCCTTCCAGAGACGTTATACTTCTTTCCCATATTTCCCTTGGCTTATATGTCCCGAGTTCAGTGATTTACTTGAGGGCGTGATGTAAGCATTGCATTTCCTCATGACAACAGGTACTGGCTCTTTCCCTGGGCTTGCCACAGTTTTTCTTGGCACTCGGTGTAAATTTTGACTTGCCGACACTGATGTCGGGTGGTTGTGCCAGGGTCCAAAGTTTCAACATTGTTTGTTTATTTTGATTCAAAGATTCCTTTATGCCAGGGGTTCTCACACTGGAGGTTGGGACCCCTCAGGGGGTCGTGAGGTTATTACATGGGGGTTTGCGAGCTGCCAGCCTCCACCCCAAACCCCACTTTGCCTCCAGCATTTATAATGGTGTTAAATATATTTAAAAAGTGTTTTTAATTTATAAGGGGGGGTCGCACTCATAAGCTTGCTATGTGAAAGGAGTCACCAATACAAAAGTTTGAGAACCACTGCTTTATGCTGTCTGTAGGTGCTCTGGCAATTAAATGTTACAAGGCAATAACCCATCAGCAGTCAAAAAGCAAACATCTGTAAACTCAGCTTGGCCAAAAAAAACATGTTCTCCCAGCTTTCTGGAAACATATCCTCAATCCTCTCCAAAAATCCTACCAAATACATGGCTTCTGTAGCATGCCCAAACCTCACTGAATTTAGGCTGTTCAGGACAAAAGCAGTGCCAGGGCCCTGATAAAGAACATACTGCCAGGAGCCCCCCACCTTACAATGAGGGGGGAATGCAGCTCGAGCACTTCTGCTGATAGTACTGCAGCAGTGTGTCACAGAAAGAGGTGGTCTTCCCGAAGTATTTAGGGTTTCATCACCCAGGGAGTCTCTTAATTCTCTAATGACTTTTGTAATTGAACATTTCTGCCATTTTTTTCTCTTTTCAAATGTAGAAGGATCCTTATTGACACGGGAGAGCCAGCTATCCCTGAATATATTGGCTGTTTAAAACAGGCACTGACTGAGTTCAGCATCTCAATCCAGGAAATTTTAGTGACACACTGGCACCATGATCATACTGGAGGCATATCTGATATTTGTAGGAACATCCACAATGGTAGGCAGAAGATTATAGTTTAATTTGACAGTTACTGAAGGGGCACTACTGGTTAGCTATGGGGACAGGGACCCTCTAATTAGAGGAGGACTGTTAGCTGGATTGTGCACTTGAGATCTTCATGTGAGCTGTACAGTATATTTAAACACATGATGCTGTTACAGCGCATAGTATGAGTACAGTAAATAGTATGAATGTTTGGTTTAGATGCACTCCAAAATGTTTCTTCATGTCAATATATAAGTAAGTATTTATATATTTGGAAGGGGGAAAGCCTCATACTGTTAATAGTCTTTTGTCTATGAATGACGAGAGGGAAATTAGTTTACCATTGATAATTCACCCAACAACAAGAGATTCCTCCCTGAGTTAACACAGAATAATCAATTGACAATTATTTTCACTTGAACAACAAGTAAATAACTGGATCAGGTGGCTGGTAACCACTCGAATGGAAATTTTTGGTGAACACCCAGACCCCAAATTGTGTAAGGTAGGGACACTTTGCATGTTTGTCCTTATCCAAAATAAATGAAGATATATTGATAAACATTCAGTGATGCTTGTTTTGGTTAAATCTCTAAGCAGAGAAAGCTGTTTCTTTTTATACTTTATGAATAGTACAGGGAATGCAGCCCTTCTGTGTTTTGTGGGAGATTGTCACAGGCTGAAACCTCACCAGAGTTACTTCCAAGGAGTCCCCAAGTGCAGCTGGAAATAGTGTTGGTGTCTTAATGAGCAAGACATAACTTCTCCAAATGAAACTAATAACGGATTATAAGAATTTCAAAGTGAAATTTCATTTGGAGAAGTCGTTTTTTGTTTATCCTCTTTAAAAAATATTACTGATGTAGAACACCAGCTGTATTCAATTTTAGAGTTTTTCATGTGTGTCTGAGTGGTCTTGTCTATGTAGATATGATTCCTTCGTATACATGTTGTTATTGCAATAAACTTTTTTATTCTTTAACTTTGCATTGAAATAGACTCCTGCATAATGGTACATCTACTCACATTTTGTAATGTTATGGGGCGTCCATGCTAGCAGCCTGGGAGTAATCAGTGCTTAACTATGAATAGGGCGCTACCAAATTCACGGCCATGAAAAAACGCATCATGGACTGTGAAATCTGGTCTCCCGCTGTGAAATCTGGTCTTTTTTGTGTCTTTACCCTATACTATATAGATTTCGCAGGGGAGACCAGCTTTTCTCAAATTGGGGGTCCTGACTCAAAAGGGAGTTGCAGGGGGGGTCGCAAGGTCATTTTATGGAGGGTCACGTTATTGGCACCCTTACTTATGCACTGCCTTCAGAGCTGGGTGGCCGGAGAGCGGTGGCTGTTGGCCAGGTGCCCAGCTCTGAAAGCAGCAACCTGCTAGCAGCAACGCAGAAGTAAGGGTGACAATACCATACCATGCCATCCTTACTTCTGCACTGCTGCTGCTGGCGGCAGCTCTGCCTTCAGAGTTGGGGTCCTGGCTGGCAGCCGCTGCTCTCCAACTGCCCAGCTCTGAAGGCAGCACCGCTGCCAGCAGCAGCACAGAAGTAAGGGTAACAGTACGGCAGCCCCCCCCCACAATAACTTGCGACCTCCCCTCCCCCCCCAACTCCTTTGGATCAGGACCCCTACAATTACAACATGGTGAAATTTCAGATTTAAATAGCTGAAATCAAGAAATTTATGATTTTTTTTAATTCTAGGGCCGTGAAATTAACCAAAATGGACTGTGAATTTGGTAGGGCCCTAACTGTGAATGATCTAAAATGTAATCTGCTTTTTTAAATAGATTCTGAATATTGCATAAGTAAGCTTCCACGCACTCCTCATCGTGAGGAAATAATAGAAGGAGAAAAGCTAAAGTATTCATATCTGAAAGATGGAGATGTGTTAAAAACTGAGGGAGCCACTCTCAGGTAAATGTTAGTTCTGTGCTAGTAGGCTAAGTCCACTTTTAAAACTAAGAATGTTTTCCTCTCATACCTCATAATTGTGAAGTTACTATTTATAACTGCATCATAATTTAGTTCTTATTTTTAAGACAGCCAAAACAGTTGAGGAGATTCGTGAATATGCCACAGTGAAATTATTTTTTCAAGATAATTGACTGGAGGGCTGCCCATATGTCAGATCCTGGCACTACTTACTCATGCAGGTAGTCTTTCTGCAGCTGAATAATACTGTTGAAGTCAAGAGGACCTACCTATGTGAGAGGGGATTACCTAATATTATCAGGATCCAGCCCCATGATTTCAGCACTATCTAGCCTCCCTAGAAAAATTATGAAGGTTCCCTAGATAAAACTGTTCCTTAGGGCAACCATCTATATTCTATGGTGTTTTATACTGCTGCCCATCATCATAGTTTCTGAGTGGTTTCCATGTAGAATAGATAACAACAACAAAGTCCATAATGTACTTCATGGAATCTTTGGTACTTGTCTCATTTCAGGGTAAAAAATAAAAACTCTGCTTGGAGTAGAGTTTTTGTTTTTTTAGATTTGTATTGTCCAGAATTCTCCCATCAAAATAAGGCTGTTCTACTGCTTCTGTCAGTTTTAAGGAAACATCCTGCTTCTTTTCCTTACTCAGAGGGAGTCCCTTTCAAGTCAGTGGTGAATTAAACTACTTCAGTGTTGTAGAACAGTGGTTCTCAAAGCTGGTCCGCCGCTTGTTCAGGGAAAGCCCCTGGCAGGCCGGGCCGGTTTGTTTACCTGCTGCGTCCGCAGGTTCGAGCGATTGCGGCTCCCACTGGCTGCAGTTCGCCACTCCAGACCAATGGGGGCTGCAGGAAGGGCGGCCAGCACATCGCTCGGCCCACGCCGATACCACAGTGATGAGTGTAGTATAAGGACCTATGGTATAGAATAGAATATTAGAGCTAATTATGTTTGCCAGTTTGCATATATGTTTATGGAGCTTAAGAAAATGGACCAGGTTAGCCCAGATCACATCATCTCTAAGCTAACATTTCATATTAACCGTCTTTCCCTAATAAGGATTCTTTACAGAGGTTTTTTCTAGACTGCCATATTAATTCATGGCTTTATCAGCATTTGTTTCTGTTACATGTAAATAGTGTATATGTGATTGTTGCATATAAAATTATTCATTCCTTTCATTTAATAGAGTTTTATATACACCTGGGCACACTGATGATCATATGGCTTTACATCTAGTGGAAGAAAATGCTATATTTTCTGGTGACTGTATTCTAGGAGAAGGGACAGCAGTATTTGAAGACTTGTATGACTACATGAAATCACTGGAAATGCTGTTGCAAATGCAAGCTGACTTAATATACCCTGGTTGGTAGTTTACATTTTCTTAATTACATCTACTAGTTTATATAAAATATTTAAAATAGCTCCTCTAAGAATGTAAGAACTCTTACTACAGTCAAATAATATAGTATTTATATAATACTTAATGTACCTTATCCAGTGTTTAGTTATTATAATTAGCTAAAGGGCATTCAGTTTATTCTATTTAAGATACTGCCTGTGTGTTTGCCATGATGCTATCCATTTCTCTCATGAGCATTATTATATTTGAGTGAAACTTGTGGTTGTGAGAAGTGCAGAATTGATAGCCCAGAAAACCAGAATCTTCTGTCAAAGAACACATGCACGAGAGGCAGCATCTGTGCAAGCTGCTTCACACCATCCTGCCACTGCACCTAAACCTGAACTAAAAAGACCACCTATAGAGCAGGGGGGGAAAGGTGGGGTCAGTTCAGTATGTATAGCCCTTGAGTCCTTGTCTTCTTGCCAATTGTGGTCATGGGTTTTGAGGTAGACAGCTGTCCATTACAAACTGGATTGAGACCATAAATTCATTTTGTAAAGGCCACCAAGCTATCAATCAGATGATTATTTTAGTTACCAAACTATGCTGAATTTCAGCCAGTGACCAAGAGGTCAAACTCCATATTACATTAATTATCCTCTGATTTATTCAGTCTCCTTGACTTTTCTTTTTTAATCTTGGAAAACATTTAATTTTCATATAAAATTATGCCTCTTTTTTGTCAAGACTGAATTTAAAAACTCATTATGTGACAGTAAGATTTAAGTTCCTTATTCTCTTTCGAGATTGCATATCCTGGCTCCTGCCTACCTTTTCCATCTTCTCTTTTCATTCCCTTCCCCACACCCTGCATTTTGCATAATTAAATAACTTCAAACTCTTGTTTCTACCTTCTTCATAAGAACGGCCATACTGGGTCAGATCAATGGTCTATCTAGCCCAGTATCCTGTCTTCCGACAGTGGCCAATGCCAGGTGCTTCAGAGGGAATGAATAGAAGAGGTAATCAAATGATCCATCCCCGGTCACCCATTCCCATCTGCTGGCAAACAGAGGCTAGGGACACCATCCCTGCCCATCCTGGCTAATAGCCATTGATGGACCTATCCTCCATGAACTTATCTAGTTCTTATTTTAACCCAGTTAGTGTCTTGGCCTTCATAACATGAACCTTCTATGAGTAGCTTCCTTCACTTAGTCTACCATATCTCCACTCTTTCTTCACGTTCTTTGTTAAAATGTACTATACTTCTACCCCGATATAACGCTGTCCTCGGGAGCCAAAAAAATCTTACCGCGTTATAGGTGAAACCGCTGCTTTACTGCGTTCTATCCAAATTCGTGTTATATCGGGTCGCGTTATATCGGGGTAGAGGTGTACTTTGAAAAGAAATACATTTTTCATCTGTAGATCTTAAAGCACATTACCAGAGAGGGAAGATCATTATTCCCATTTTACAGATGGGGGAATTGAACTGACTTGCCCACGCTAACCAGGGGTAAAGCTGAAAATAGATTCCAGGTGCCCTGAGTCCAATACCTTATCCACTAGGCCACACTGCCTTCTGTGTAAAGTCTACAAACCATGTTCCTCTTCTTTGATTAGCTTTTCTCATGCCAAAAGTATGTGTTAAATTCCACCTTTTTGTCACAATTCTCTTTCTCTCTCATCCCCTCTCTGTGTTTTATTATCTATCTAGATTACAAACTCTTTAAGGCAGGAAGCTTGTCCTTCTGCTTTACTAAAGCACCTAACACGCTGCTGGCAATAGATAAATACATACCCTAATTAAGATTCTAATAAGGCAATAGGATATTGTGTATTTTCAATGGCCGATGGCCATAGGTATCCTGGTACAGCATTTTGAATCGGAACTAATTTTGTTTCCTTTACCATGTTTAATAAAATATTTGTGCGCTTCCATAAACAATAGTTATTCCCTAATCAGAGAACAGTTTTCTATCACCACTATTTACTGTATTAAAATTGGTAAATTTATTATAGTAACTTTTTTGATTTGTATTCAGTCTTATTCATGCTGAGAATCCTCTCCGTTTGACAGCCTTATTCTCTACCTTTCCTCTCTCTACACACACACACACACACACACACACACACACACACACACACACACA